ACCCCCTGCCATGGCAGGAAAGAGTCCTGGGGTCAAATGACCCCAGCAAGGTGATTGTCAAGCCTTGTCTTAAAGACCCCCCAAGGTAGGAGCCAGCACCACTTCACTTGGAAGTTGGTTCCAGATCCTAGCCACCCTGACAGTGAAGTAGCGCCTCCTGATGTCTAATCTGAATTTATCCTCTGCAATCTGAATTAACCCTCTGCGTTACATTTGATTATAACTTGCAAATCAATTTTTCAGTCTGTTTATGTATGTTTGAAATCATAGATTGTGTTTGTGTGTTCTTATCTGCTCTTCTGACATGGGGGTGCCAATTTTGAGAATGCGCTAAGGAAGCAAGAACTTTTTCCACTTCTGAATACAAGGGCTTTAGTTTTTCTACTCCTAGCACTTCTAGAGGCTCTTGAACAGGAGTGGGTGCACCAAATTTGCAATGGCACTGATATCAACAGGATAATATAAAGTTGAGAGAGATTTCTTGCTTATTCTCCCAGCGGTTGCCAACTGAATATCATCCACATCTGGTGAATGGAACAGAATGAAATAATCTGTAAAACAACTTAATCCATGCCTTTCTATATTTATATTGATATAATAGCAGATAAGAGAAATATTGGAGGAAACTATAGAAAAATCATATATCATTGGACAAATGTATTTATGCAGCAAGAAAATTATGGTCTAAAATGTTTAGAGATGTTTTTCCTTGACACGCTTAGGTTGGATGAGCAATGTGATGATATTTCTACACGTACTGTCTTTTTGGAGAGTCAGTGGAGAGTACTGGAGAATATGAAAGCCCAGTATGTTGCTGTAAACGGCATTAGAAAAGTTTCTTGTGTGGTAAGTACCATGTTTAGAGAGAGCATGGAATTCTTTTAGATAAATATTTTGCTTGTTATGACTAAAGAAATTGATACTATATTTTTTTTGTTGACTTGACTTGAAAAAAATATCTATGTCCTCTGTACTGCAACAAAATCATTAGAAGAGGTAACGTTCATTTTTCTCCAGTCCATGATACTGAAAGTTTATTAAAATATTTGTAACTTCTATTTTAAAAAAATGAGAGGGAGGGGTGAATTGGTTTGTGTAGACATACTTACCTAGTTCTAAATCAGTAACACGCATGAAGTAGCAGAAATTTTAAAACAAGCTTACTTCAACTTTTTACTCTGGTACCTCAGGACTCAATTTAAAAGAAAATACAGCTTTTGGTAAACATTAATTTTAAAAGCATGACCCACATCTTCAAGACGTGTGTGTGTGTGTGTGTGTGTGTGTGTGATAACACACTTCTTTGTTAATGAAAAGTTTTAAATATTTCTATAGCTCAGTTCAAATCTTCGTCATGTGAGAGTGTTTGAGATGGATGTAGAAGATGATGGAGAAGCAGAGGAAGAGGAGGAGGAGGAAACTACTCGAACAGGAGGTGGAGAACATGAGCTGAATCAGTCAACAGATAACCAAGACAATGTGTGTGGTGGTTCTGCTGAACTGGCAGAAGAAACTGGAGAACTTGAATCAAACTTGGATTCTTGACCTGATCCTTGTTATTGGTACAAAGATGTAGGAGCAACCTCTCTAGTTTCAAACAAGTGACACTTCTTCTTTATACTGTATCCATGTATTGAGCATGTGAATCTTGTGGATATTTTAGAATATACTACTTGACTCCCTAGATAAAGCCATTTTTTTTTTTTTTCAGTTCCACCTATTGAATGCTCCTTCTCTTAAAATTTTAAACAAACAGTATTTTTTTCTGGAGTAATGCAGTGTGGGTGGGTGGGTGGGAA